GTATATCTGTCTGTGTGTGTGTCAGTATGTATACATGTCTGTATGTATGTCTGTTTGTCAGTATGTATGTATGTATGTATGTCTGTGTGTATGTCAGTATGCGTGTGTGTGTGTATGTCAGTATGTATATATGTCTGTGTGTGTATGTCAGTATGTATGTCTGTGTGTGTCAGTATGTATATATGTCTGTGTGTATGAATGTCAGTATGTCTGTATGTGTGTATGTCAGTATGTATATATGCCTGTATGTATGTCTGTGTATGTGTCTGCAAGTATGTATGTATGTCTGTGTGTGTGTATGTCAGTATGTATATATGTCTGTGTGTGTATGTCAGTATGTATGTCTGTGTGTGTCAATATGTATATATGTCTGTGTGTATGTATGTCAGTATGTGTGTATGTCAGAATGTATATATGTATGTATGTCTGTTTGTCAGTATGTATGTATGTCTGTGTATGTGTCTGCAAGTATGTATGTATGTCTGTCTGTGTGTGTGTGTGTGTATGTTAGTATGTATGTCTGTGTGTGTACAAATACAAAAAACAAGTCCTGCACTCAAACTCCCACTACTTTTGGGCGACAGCAAAAACCATAGTACACAACAGCCCTGTGACGAGACCAGTCTTGCCACTGTGCATTGGAGGAGCCTGGTTGCCTGCCTGCTGCCTTTTGACTATGGACCGGCATTTAAATACTTTATTTTCCTATGCAGAAAGATCTATTCATGTTTTCTGCCCTGGCGTTCGGTAGATTCTTGGATTTACTGAATGAACTCATATAACCCAGATAGCTATGCAATGGAGCCTATTCGTGTAATAAAAGACTTTGGCTCCATGACAATTGAACTGTATGTGTGTGTGGTCTGAGCGCCATTCAGTATTAATGTGCGCTCAGACCTAAGCTATCTGGGCATATGTTGCATGTCTGTATTTTATGTCATAAATGTAATCTTGTGTATTTTATTGTATTTTACTGTCTTTTTACTGCCATGTGCTTAATGGAGTTTTGCATCTGTCCTTGGAGATAATTGGATTACTTCCCAATTATCTCCAGGATATAAGACTCTGTGGAACTGGTTTTGGGCAGAAAAGCCATGCTTCCTTTGGTCACAAAGGACTTCGACTTTTAAACCAATGGACCAATTTGGATGATTTTGACATATGTTTGTATTTGTAGTATGCTGATTCTGAAAATGTATAATTTTATGTGAATGTGATGCATACTTTTCCAGTTATGAATAATGTGGAAAAACTGTATTTCTCTGGCTGTGATAATTACATTACCCATTGTGTAAGGTAATTGTATCACAGGCAGAAGGGAGGATTTTGTGTGGGAGTGTCTGAGTGTATTGTACGTGTTTATTGGTTGTTTTCCAAAACCCTGTGGGTGGTTCTAATGTGTAAGAATGTGTACATAAGAACAATAAACCCACAGCTCTGTCTGTTCCTGCTTGACCCTCAAAACGGAGCCTTGTCTCGTTCTTGGGGGGATTTATTGTATGCTGTTCCAGTTTGACTGCTAGGAGTGTAAACCTATTCATGTGGTTTTTCCTATTCGGCTGTTTACAGCATTCATATGCTTCTCCGGTTCGGTGGATTGGTGTCTACAGTAGCTGTGCCTGTGTCTCTGGAAGGGAAGATCTACTAAACGGCGGTTTAACCCCTTTTATGCCTGGGGGTGCTATTACAAGCCCCAATACATACAGTAAAAACCAAAGAAAAAAAGTTACCTGCTCTCTTTCCCAAATCACCTTGGCGTGGCAGGTGGGCATTCCCTCTAAATAACCTCTATTTGTTTAAATATACATAGGGATTTGGGAAAGAGCACAGGTAGCTTTATTTCTTTAATTTTAACCACTACAGTTCTCAAAATAGTATTTTGCAATATTAAGATTCTTTTTGTATTTTTTTTTTTTTACTTTATTCACTTTTGTTTTATATTGTGGACAGGGTACAGAGCGCAGCAAGGATCTGGTACATGGATGTGGACAACAGGTGACAAATTTAGAAGAACCCTCACTCTACGTGTCACAATTTTTTTTGGTAGCTACTTAAATCTGACCACATGTAAACGTCCCAAGGTTTTCAAAACACCAATCATATTACCACATTCATTGTATCTCTTAAAACATACTACTTTCAGCTTTTATTGTTAATGTTTTGGTTAAAGAGACCCAACACAAATAATTAAAATTCACATGTTTATCTCAAGTATGCAAACTTATTCTGGTGGCAAGTGTTTGCTGTGTTTAAATAATTAAATACTGACATAATTTAAATCTCTCCATTATCTTTCTAGTAATAAAACCTGCAGATGTTCATTCACTTCCCTCCTTTTTATAGTAAGTTTAACAAGTCCCTCCTTTTAACATTTTCACTGCTATGTCTGTTTATTATATTATATTATAATCAATTTTTTCCTTTCAGTCGAATGTTGCTCTATTCCATCTTTCCTGTGACGGGCTTGTAATGACTCACCCTATTAACCTGCTTTGTGTCAGTGATCTATAGGATGTCGCTTCATTAAACCCATTAACATGGAACCCACCCGCTGTGAAACGTCTTATTTTTAACATTAGACTGCAGTTAAAGGGACACTATAGTCACCAGAACAACTACAGCTTAATGTAGTTGTTCCGGTGAGTGTAATCATTGCCTTCAGGCATTTTAATGCAAACACTGTCTTTTCAGAGAAAATGCAGTGTTTAAATTGCCCCTAGGGACACCTCCAAGTGGCCACTTCTCAGATGGCCACTGGAGGTGCTTCCTGGCTCAGTAGGCAGCACTGCCGTTCAGTGTTTCCACGCTCTGCATGGGGATGCTGAATTTTCCTCATAGAGATGCATTGATTCAATTCTGATGATGTCACCAAGGGGGCGGGGGCAGCACCGGTGGACCCGTGGAGCGCTAAAATACAGTGAGTTTTAACCCATTCTGAGGGGGCTAAGGAGAGGGGATGGGGGGGCAAGCCACCTAAATGGTGGGTTTTCACTATAGGGTCAGAACCATGTGACAAACCTGCCTTTTTTCTAACTTGCAGCATGACCAGCAATATTTGTTTTCATGCCTAAAGATTCTTATTAAAAGAACACTCAAAGATTAAAAATAAATACATGGGAAGCTAAGGTCTTGCAAGTTTAAAATTCTTACATACTATGACTTCGGCATAATTTCAGCTTAATTTTTATGACAACATTTAAGGATATTTCTTTTACCTTCTGGATATAAATTTTCATACATCAGCACTGATGTAATATCCCCAATGAAATGTTTCAATAAAAAAAAGTGTAAAAATCCTTTAGAGACTTAAAGGACCACTATAGGCATCTAAGCTAAGTGATCTTGGTGCAATGGGCCTGTAGTTTTAACCATGCAATGGAAAACATTGATGGGGTGGTGGTGAGAGGGGGGGATGATGAGAGGGGGAGATGGTGAGATGGTGAGAGGGAGGGGGTGATGGTGAGAGGGAGAGAGGGGTGATGGTGAGAGGAGAGGGGGTGATGGTGAGGAGGGAGAGGGGTGATGGTGAGAGGGTGAGGAGAGATGGGTGATGGTGAGAGGGTGATGGTAAAAGGGAGAGGGGTTGATGGTGAGAGGGAGGGAAGGGGTGATGGTGAGAGGGAGGGAGGGGTGATGGTGAGAGGGAGAGGGTGATGGTGAGAGGGAGGGGGTGATATTAAGAGGTGGTGATGGTGAGAGGGAGGGGGTTATGGGGAAAAGGTGGGGGTACTAAATACCTTTATTCCGTGGTGGTCCGGTGGGCTCCCTGGTGGTTTAGTGGCCATTACATCTGGCCTGCAGATCTGCAGAGCTGCAGACCATGTATCTCCCGAGACCCGTCTGATTGGCCAGTTCTCGGCGAGACACATGGTTTGCAGCTCTGCGGAGCTGCAGACCGATGTCTCTGATGGCTGGCCGGGCAGACAGGAGGGGCCTCGCACCCAGCAGCATACTGAGCAAGCCGCCGGGCCCCCTCCTGGTGTCAGGTCCTCGGTCACTGACCGAGGACCCGACACAGTCTGCCCTTAGGTGGTTTAGGCGGCCACGAGGCCCCAGCCAGCGCGAGGCCTTAGGCAGTCGCCTAAACCGCCTAATTAAAGAGCCGCCCCTGTTGTCTCTCACCACCTGCTATCACCAATCGGCTTTGGGAGGCCAGAGTAGGCCAGAGCCTGCTTGTCTTTGGCAGCCTTAAGTGCTATGCAAAGGCACCTCGAGTGCCATGCATGGCACATGTGCCATAGTTTGCTGACCCCTGTACTTCCCGTTTCAACCCTAGGATATAATGGTGTATATTCTTAATTTAGTAAGAGCATGAATTAGGAGGAAACTGTAATAAATATTATAAACCTGACCTATAAACAAAGGCCTACAAACTGGATCTAAACAGGGTAAGCTGTAAAATGTGAATTTCCTGTACTGACTTATTAAATACCAGCAGTGTAAATAATAGAAATCTGTAATTTTTTTCTTTTTTTGTTGTTGTTGTGTAGGTAGATACAGAACATCAGTAAACGCCACAAAAGCGTACACGTAAAGTTAGGCAGTGGCATGGATATTTGCTCATTTTTTAAAATTAAGATATATAACAAGCAGAACCTATCTGGTGGCCCTAAGAGTAAGCAATTATATAATCATGTAGTGGGACCTAATGAGGGTAATGCCGAGCTGTAGGCAAGGAGAATTCGCTAAGTTAGGCGGTTAACCCTACGTGAGAAAATTAGTTGTGTATTATGTCTTAGGTTCTGAGACATGTCTTCAACTGTCATCAGGGTCTGCAAGTGGGGGTTAGTTGCCAGGCATGGGGTACTTGCGCAGGCCCAGCCCACTTCACCTACACTGTCCTGTTGCATGTAACAAGAGGTTTTTCGCCTAGTCAGCTGGAGCTCTGGGGATGTCGGCAGTGGATGTCTAGTAGGCAGGGGGAGGGTGGTATGTGGGATGCACTGAACGTCATGTGGGTCAATGAGGAAAAGTTATAAACAAACTTTGTGAACAAAACATTATACACATATGGGTTCAGGTTGTGCTCTCTGCATACGCGGCCTTGGATGGTTGGCGCCGGACAAAGTTGGTCGCCGTCTCCGAGTTCCATCTCTGCGTTGTTGTCTCTGAGGCTTGTGGCCCAGGTCATGGCATAGAGTCCCAAAGTTGGTAGTAGCACTGCTGCTTCTTTTAGATGCCCGTCTGTGTGCTTGTTGTCGTCTTGGAGTACTTGGAGTGTGTGGGACATGGATTGGATTCCGTTTTTTCTCAGGAGAGAGGTAAATGGTTGGAGGGTGCATCTCCATGCCAACGTGTCGCCTGATATATCAGTGTAGAAAGTCAGTGACATTGTCTCAGAGGTGCAGGGTGTGATTCCCTTCACTGCGGCCATCATCGCAGATTTGTCTCTGCTGTGTTTAAATTGGACTACTAGGTCCTGTGGTGCAACTTTTGTACTGCCTGCTGAAGTGTGGCTATCTGTTGCGTGTAGGTCTGCTCTAATATCCGTGAGCATGTTCCTCTGGAGGTCAGCCAGACGTTTCTTCAGAACTGCGGTGGTCACTGGAGACTTGTCCGAATTCAGTGGAGCCAGCAGGGGTTGACACGTGGTGGGTATTCCCTCCATCTCCCATTGTGGGACAGGTCGTCCAAGAGCTCAGAGAACGAGTAAGTGGCCATCTTGGGCCCGGCCGCGCCATGCGCCTGTCTCCACATTTCCTCGATGTTTAAACCCATCCGAGACTTGTCTGCTTTTAGTTTTTTTTGTTTTGCGCCGCATGCTGCCTTCACCACAACTGTGGCTGTGATCTAAGGCACCAAGTTGGGTCTTTTCTGTGGGAAATGCGGGTTTTAATGCTTTTGATTGTGGAACTCACGGTGAATGTGCTCAGCTCGAAAATCTGTAATTTTTAAAGTGACATTCCAAGCAACATAACCACTATGGCTAGATTATGTTATTTTGGGTGCCCAGACAAATCGTTTAGAAACTTAGGTGATTAATTACCCCATCCCCAATACTCTGAGAGAAACAATGTCATCCAGACTGAACAAAATTTTAATTGATTATATATATATATATATATATATATATATATAGAGAGAGAGAGAGAGAGAGAGAGAGAGAGATATATATATACAGGGAGTGCAGAATTATTAGGCAAATTAGTATTTTGACCACATCATCCTCTTTATGCATGTTGTCTTACTCCAAGCTGTATAGGCTCGAAAGCCTACTACCAATTAAGCATATTAGGTGATGTGCATCTCTGTAATGAGAAGGGGTGTGGTCTAATGACATCAACACCCTATATCAGGTGTGCATAATTATTAGGCAACTTCCTTTCCTTTGGCAAAATGGGTCAAAAGAAGGACTTGACAGGCTCAGAAAAGTCAAAAATAGTGAGATATCTTGCAGAGGGATGCAGCACTCTTAAAATTGCAAAGCTTCTGAAGCGTGATCATCGAACAATCAAGCGTTTCATTCATAATAGTCAACAGGGTCGCAAGAAGCGTGTGGAAAAACCAAGGCGCAAAATAACTGCCCATGAACTGAGAAAAGTCAAGCGTGCAGCTGCCACGATGCCACTTGCCACCAGTTTGGCCATATTTCAGAGCTGCAACATCACTGGAGTGCCCAAAAGCACAAGGTGTGCAATACTCAGAGACATGGCCAAGGTAAGAAAGGCTGAAAGACGACCACCACTGAACAAGACACACAAGCTGAAACGCCAAGACTGGGCCAAGAAATATCTCAAGACTGATTTTTCTAAGGTTTTATGGACTGATGAAATGAGAGTGAGTCTTGATGGGCCAGATGGATGGGCCCGTGGCTGGATTGGTAAAGGGCAGAGAGCTCCAAACCGACTCAGACGCCAGCAAGGTGGAGGTGGAGTACTGGTTTGGGCTGGTATCATCAAAGATGAGCTTGTGGGGCCTTTTCGGGTTGAGGATGGAGTCAAGCTCAACTCCCAGTCCTACTGCCAGTTCCTGGAAGACACCTTCTTCAAGCAGTGGTACAGGAAGAAGTCTGCATCCTTCAAGAAAAACATGATTTTCATGCAGGACAATGCTCCATCACACGCGTCCAAGTACTCCACAGCGTGGCTGGCAAGAAAGGGTATAAAAGAAGAAAATCTAATGACATGGCCTCCTTGTTCACCTGATCTGAACCCCATTGAGAACCTGTGGTCCATCATCAAATGTGAGATTTACAAGGAGGGAAAACAGTACACCTCTCTGAACAGTGTCTGGGAGGCTGTGGTTGCTGCTGCACGCAATGTTGATGGTAAACAGATCAAAACACTGGCAGAATCCATGGATGGCAGGCTTTTGAGTGTCCTTGCAAAGGAAGGTGGCTATATTGGTTACTTATTTGTTTTTGTTTTGTTTTTGAATGTCAGAAATGTATATTTGTGAATGTTGAGATGTTATATTGGTTTCACTGGTAATAATAAATAATTGAAATGGGTATATATTTGTTTTTTGTTAAGTTGCCTAATAATTATGCACAGTAATAGTCACCTGCACACACAGATATCCCCCTAACATAGCTATAACTAAAAACAAACTAAAAACTACTTCCAAAAATATTCAGCTTTGATATTAATGAGTTTTTTGGGTTCATTGAGAACATGGTTGTTGTTCAATAATAAAATTAATCCTCAAAAATACAACTTGCCTAATAATTCTGCACTCCCTGTATGTGTGTGTGTGTGTGTGTGTTAGTATGTCATTAATAATGTGGCCAAGATAGGGTCAGAAAGGTTTATTCCAAATAGTTTTTAAATATTTTAGTTTTTTTTTAGGGAGGTGCCAAGCAACAAGATGGACGCCATTCCTAATCGCTCCGGACACAAAACCTTTAATCTGTCAAATATCACCCAGCAGTGCTTAAAGGACCACAATAGTGCCAGGAAAACATACTCTATTTCCTGGCACTATAGTGCCCTGAGGGTGCCCCCACCCTCAGGGTCCCCCTCCCACCGGGCTCTGGGGAGAGGAAGGGGTTAAAACCTTACCTTTCTCCAGCGCCGGGCGGGGAGCTCTCCTCCTCCTCTCCTCCTTAATAGCGACGTCATCGGCTGAATGCGCATGCGCGGCAGGAGAAGCGTGCGCATTCAGCCAGTTCATAGGAAAGCATTTACAATGCTTTCCTATGGACGCTGGCGTCTTATCACTGTGATTTTCACAGTGAGAAGCACGCAAGCGCCACTAGCGGCTGTCAATGAGACAGCCACTAGAGGCTCTAGAGGCTGGATTAACCCTATTATAAACATAGCAGTTTCTCTGAAACTGCTATGTTTATAAAAAAAAAGGGTTAACCCTAGCTGGACCTGGCACCCAGACCACTTCATTAAGCTGAAGTGGTCTGGGTGCCTAGAGTGGTCCTTTAATCGATGTGAAGGAGCCCACAGGGAACACATCTATGCCCTTTGTTTATGACGTCCCGTCATCTCCCAGGAAACCCTGCGCTCCCGCAACCAAACAAGACATATTTGGGGATCTCTATGATCGCATTTGAAAATGATTCAATGCAGACACAGTTCTGGTGAAGAAGAGGTACAGGCCTTCACTGAGTGGGTATGAGTCACGGAGGAAGACCTCAAACCTCTCAGCCCTGGAGGAGACAGTGCATGATTTACAATCCTCGCACACTAACACCACCCTCAGAGTAGATTCCCTCGAGGGTAGAGGCCGGAGGAAAAATGTGAAAATAAGAGGTGTGTCTGTAACAGTGGCATCGGAGGAGCTACCCCATCTGATTAGAAGATTGCTAGCCTCAACATTGCCTACAAAAACAGCTAAATCGATTGTGTTGGATGGTGTCTACCGAAAAGCTTAGTCACCAAGAGCACCCATTGCCTTTCCAAGAGACATAATAGTCCGATTTCAATCCTGTGGAGATAAACAAAAGCTCCTGAATGCATTAAGGGACAAAGCACCTCTAAGCTTTGAAACACACCACCTGACCTTCTATCAACATCTTACCCCTTCTACCCTGCAATGGAGACAAGCCATGTGGCCTATCACCCGGAGGTTGCAAGAAGCGGGCATCGCATATCGTTCATATCCCATATGGTCTTCTCCAAGGGCTGTAATGGCATTTGCAGAGGACATGATCTACAGAGCTGTGGCACCCAACAAGGCTACAACATTCCTGACATTCCTCAGGCCTGACTAATACACCATCAGAGAACCAGAGGCGCCTACCTGGCCACTCATGGGACATCTCGAATATAACACCTTTTGTTCCTGCCAGGGGACGGAACTCTGTGACTTGATTTACAATAGGCTCGTATTTAGATTTATGATATTAAGTTGATTGAGTGCCTTTGTTTATTTTAGATTTTTCACTACATAACTCTCACATATTCTCTTACAGATGGCCCACAATCATGCGGCACCAAGAACGCTACCCAAAGAAAGACCCTGGTGAGACAGTCTAAAGCGTATCTGCCTGAGCGTACCTGTATCGAAAGCCCACAATAAGCCTTGGATCAGTTTAATGTAAACTCCACCCTCCCCCTGTTGCCCCCGAGGTTAGGGGTACATACAACTACACATACGCACTGTGAACAGGGGTATTTGTTGACATTCTTCATCCACCCAGGCCACCCTCACCACTGAGTACTTATTTAGCAGAAGTCTAACACTTTTTCTCTAGGGCAGGCCCACGCATCGGCATATATCAAATGTTAATTTCTGACCTTAAGACTGCATCTCATACTTCACATTCACACTTAACATTACATCTTTACCTAACAATATGATCTATCCTGCTCAGCAACAATTATCAGGCTTACTTAGCCACTATCAACGTGTCTACATGATCTCAAATGTTTTAGTCGATCTTATTTTATTTAATCAATCGTTCCCACACTACACGTCAGTTGTTTTGACTCTAAAATCTCAAAAAAATGTTCTGTTAACTCAAATGTCACATCTCTGTTTAGCCTTGTTTGATTATGCTTGCTACTGCTATCGTGGCACTGCATGCCTGCTTGTTATTATGTGCACAGTAAAAATCAAGGTTTTTTGGGGGGGGGTTTTAAGTAAAAAAAAAATAAACATTTCATTTTTGTTTGTATTGTTATGGTTTTATGCATCAATATAGATGCCATCAGACAATCTAAAAACTATAACTCTTTGTAGTGGATTGCTGTTTGCATTTCCCCTACAATGACACTTTACACTATACACTATAAACTAATACACAATGCTAGCCATGATTGCTCCCACTTTCTCCATCAGTTATTCTTAGTACATCTGTTTTACCTCACATGACTTGGTATCACTTTAAACGGCA